AGTGAGATTTGGATTGATTCATTTTATGTAAATGACCCAAAAAAAGAATGGTCTTTTTTGTGAGAAAGTTGAGCCCAAAGTGCCTTTTATGTGGAAAAAGTATGTGATGAATGACCTTTCTAAGGCAAAATTTCTGTTGAAATATAAATGTAATTCATTTTTATAATAATTTTGTTTGTGGCAGATTGAATTTTATGATAATTTTGGGGTGATTTATTATTGAATTAATGATAATAATTTTTATAATTTATGTAATAGTTTATTAAATATTTTTACTAGTAACTTAATTTAAGGGCAAATTTTTTAAGTCTATAAAGGGAAATTTGTGTTGTGGGGTTCATATACTTGAAGAATATTTTAATGTTTCGCTCTTAAATATTGATGCTTATAGCATTGATGAGGTGATCAACTCTTCGTTGACTCCTGTTAATGCCTATAAGGATTTCGTGCCGTTAACTTCAGCAACAATGTTCATTAACAAGAGTACATAACTTTTAATTTAGGACCCATTTGGGACCTCGTTTTTGTGGCTTTTTGTTTTTGGTTGCGGAGCAAAAGAAGTCGCGTTTGAGAATCCTTTTATTTTATGTGTTTTGCTGGTCGGGGGCTGCATTAGGTTGAATGTCGAAACGGAAGGAGGAAAGGGCTTTCCGCGATTGGAGCTCCATTGCGAGGTGCCTTTGACGTCGTTGTTTTTTCAGGTTTACGTTAATCTCACCCCCTATCCTCGCAGATACCCAGGCCACTGTCCTCCTATATCATTTGTATGGTTAGGGTTGAAACTTGGTTCCGCTCCCCCCCACCCCCCTCTGTTCGGTGTCGTCGATTGACTGCAACATTCTGGTGAAGTTTCTCCTTTAAACATTTTATATTTTTGTGGTTCATTCGCTACCTATCTCTGTGTTTCTTATTTTTTATGTGATTTTTTTTTTTGTTTCTTGATCTGCATATGTATTCATTGATGTTTGATGGTCGAATAACTTGCTCTTTCAAATGCATATGTATAGATGGACATGATTTCTGAGCACTTATTTGTTTTTTCTTCTCTTATTGCTTAATTTTTGCATATGATTTGATGCAAATTAGAAGTTTATCTGATTGATTAGTTAACAACATCTATACTAATTCTGATCAAACAGTAGAAGCTATGGAATAAGAAATATAAAAGCATTGTACATCTATTTCCTTAAGAATTCTTTGTGGATTTATTCTACATATGCTTGCACCCATGTTTGTTGGTCGATTTATTTGCACATGCCTCCTATAAAGAGTTGAACGAGCACTGCTTCACTTTTTTAGTATATGAAATATTTTTATAAATGACATTGCATATGCATTGTTACAAATTTGAAGCTAGCATGATAGACAATTTAGCAACATCTATAACTATCCTGATGAACCACTAGAAGATATAAAATTAGATATATTTGAGCTTTGTTCATCTATTTTTTTAAGAAATCCTTTTTTTTAGTTAATGCAAGAATTTTACAGATGGAATTGCATATGCTTTCATGCAAAGTTGTAAGTTTGCATGATAGATAAGCTACATCATCTATACTAATCCTTATCAACTAAGAGAAGCTACGAAATGAAATATATATAAACTTTGTTCATTTGTTTTTAAGGATTTACTATTTTAAATATTATGAGTGTGGAGTAATATTTTGGAGGGAGGGAAGAGATTGTTGAGCACTGTTTCTTTTTTATTTTTCTTCTGCTGAGACTTTTGCAAATATAATTACATATGTTTTACTGCACATTTGAAGTTTGCTCAATATATAAGTTAACAAAATGTTTACCTGTTTTGATCAATCAATAGAAACAATTAGATGAAATATATATGAGCAATGCTCACATGTTTATTTCAGTTTTTTGTTGGTTTTTTTTTTTAGATAGATATATGAACACTAATTTTTAGTTTTTCTGACAAATTTTGATGATCAAATTGTTTGCTCTTCTCTCATCAATGTGGAGTAACATTTTGGGGAAGAATATTGAGCACTGTTTCCTTCTTTTAGTTATCTTTTGCGGAGATTTTATAAATAAAATTGCATATGGTTTGCTGCATATTTGAAGTTTGCATGTAACTAGTGTTCATCTGTCATACAAACTTCAAATATGCAACAAAGCATATTCAATTCATTTATAAATGTTTTACCATAAGAAAACTAAAAAAACTAAGCAGTGCTCAAGAAAACTAAAAAAAACCAAACTACACTTAAGAGGAAGCAAGAGCAGGCGATTCACCCAGCATAATCTATCAGATGAATTGAACTTATGCTCATATATCTATCTAAAGAGAGATATGTTGAGGTGAAGTGGATGTTATTAACTTATCAAAAATAATTCTCGAGATTTATATGATCTTATTATATCAGAATTTTTGTGGACTCGTTGGTTGCTTGGTTTTCGTTTATGGTGATGCTTTCAGAAGAAAATTTGGTGGGCACGTTTCACATTTCTTGTGAAATGGTTAGTAGAGCGATGATGGAAAACACATAATAAAAACCTCAACCGATTATCAATTGTGAATATGAAAAAAAAAAACAATTATGCTAATTTTACACGAATACTATATGGTATTTATGTTTGGATAACACAATTGGTGATCTAGATGGAGCTATTTTTTATATCCATGATTTGATTATGAGCACTACTTTTACTTTTTATTTGACATAATCTTGTTTTAGGTTCATGTATTGTTGTTTTACATGTCAATCATGTGATACATTTTTTTTCTTACTTAGATAAGGTGAGATATCCGCTATTTGAGATAGAGAGAGAGATAATTTTATGTGATTTATGCTTGAAAGGGGTAGAAAATTACAATATACCAACCACACATTTCAATAAGAAATGTAGGCAAAATATAACGAAACTCATTCAACAAAGAACATGTAGATTGTACAATAAAACTCAATTGAAAAATAAATGAGATCAAATTAAGAAGAGCTGAAGTTGTGGAAGGAGCTAAATTGAGGGGCCACTGGTTTAGGATGGGACCCTGTTAAAAACATAGTTATTTGTTGTTTTTTTTCTCGATGTAGTTTTTCAAAATATATATAACAAGCTGTGTTGCACCTTTCTTTTTTTGTGCACCGATAAACTTTAAGTCTTAATTTTAAGATTGCTTATATATTTTTTATAATTTCTCAATTATTGCATCAACTTAATTTTCTTAATTAGAATAATATTGTATTATAATAACATAAAATATGAGCTCAAGATCATCAAACACTTCAAAAGTTCCTCTCTATTATTGTGGTGATAGGTGTGTTCTGTACCAGTCCAGAAGGGAAGGCATAGCAAAAGATTTTATTTTTGTCTCGGAAATAGGACTCCTGCAGATTGCGACTATTTCAGTTGGGTTGATGACATTGACGAGGTCCCTCCAAATCGTGATCAGCCGAGGAGAGATTCAGCGATGGAGTGGAGATTGTTCCCAAGACTTGATCATCTGGATTTCAACCCAAATCCCATTCTTGGCCCGTTGATTATCATTGTTGTCCTCATTATTGTAGTTGCTAGTTTCAAATAGCTAATCATTTTTTTATGTATTAGAGTATTTGGGACTGAACTGTTATTTTTGTTTATCATTACGCCTGTTTTTGTTATTTATTTCTGAATATTCTCAAAACTATATTTATTTCAATGTATTATATATATAAGGGCAAAACAATTTTTCTCAGCATAAACAACAACAACACAGTAGATCTCCTAAACAGACATTGTTTCTTTATCAACAGCTTTCTGACAACTTCTAAAAAGTTGGCTCTGTTTTATAACAATTTCTTGAAAAAACATCAGCCACCCCAACCACACCCTTAGACACCAATGTTAATGTCTGCTGATGCCAGCAAATTTGTCTGCTACAGTTGACATTCATGCCAATGACCAGTGACTTCGTTTGCACTTCTCCACACCACTGCTAACACTTGTCAATTTATTCACACATTAACATTTAATTTGACCAAAGCTTAACCACCAAGCAAGGCATCACTGTAATCAATAATAGTCGACTTTCAAATAAGCATATACATAAAACATGGCCACTGATAAGAGTCCCACTTACAGAGAATTACCATTACATTAAAAAAAGAGAGGGATTTAAGAGGTTATTAAACTTATAAGAATGAGAAATGGATAATAATAATAATAATAATAATAATGTTACACTATTAGAAACTCCTGCTCACATTGGTATTGTTCATTATGAATATCATTTCACGAGTCATCGAATGATAATGAATTCATCATTCAACAGAG